ATAACAGAAATGTACCAGGCTGTAAACATGTTTATTTCTGCTGTAAAGTTGGACATTTTAATATGGGGCCTTATGGAGATTGACTCACTGCTGGAGCCAGCCTCAAGTGGCCAGTAGAGGAACTGCAGGTTTTATTACTTCCATGGTGCTTAATTTGCAGCCATAGTGGTTGCAGCTGGGTTGAACCCTATTGAAGTTGCTTGATAAAGGTGGAGAGTTAAAATTTGAATGAATGAGTTTTTCACAAATATGTGTGTGTGTGTCTGTGTGTTTTAGGACCTGTTGGCGTTGGTGGAGCAATTGGATCGTCTCAAAGATAAGGCTGCAGCCAGTGGATCAGGTGGAGACGCGGGGCTGCTGGGGGATCGACTGGCGAAGCTGCAGAAGGATGCTGGAGTTCTAGTCAACACCACTGAAAGCATGATGGAGGCTCTGGAAGGTAACCACACCACCAACCCACATCTGTCTTTAAAAAACATCACTCTCAAATTCAAAAGGAAGTCCTCAGGTCCTTTGAGGTCCTACAAACATCCATTTGTAGAATATCCATGAACTGACATAGGTCATTATATCTCCTAATTTCTCTGTTATCAGTTTGAGTTCTGGTCCTGTGACAGGATATTATGGAATTTGCAGTGTTTTATATTCCTGTACATTGGTCTTTTTCCAGGTAAGGGAGATTCTCTCAGGAGACTGCAGGACGAAATTCTCCAGAAGTCAACAAAGCTTGAAGGACTTGATGCTAAGGTTAAAGACCTTTTGGAAAAACTTCGAACAAAAGCCCACGACCTCAGCATCTGCCAGGGCTGAAAGTCTCCAAGTTGCCCGTCGGAGCCAGATCTGCAGCTGCTGTCACTACAACACTTTATACCAGCTTAACATGCCATTCACATCTTTGCTGTCTTCACTCTACGACAGGAGGATTCCTCCCTGACTTTGGAACACCATTACAACTCTTCTCTATAACATTACACCTCTTCTCTGGCAGTGGTCAAAGAACTGTGGGAAATGTAGGAAATCATTTCTGGGGTTGATTAAGATAATGTTGACTACTCTTCATCATATAATAACTCCTTGAATATGTTCTGCATTAAAGGTTGTATATATGAAGTTCACTTGTCCCTAGATGTCGCACTAGAGCACCAGCATCTCTGAGCAAAACAATGGGCACTACTGCTGACCAGACTCCACTAACAAAACATTCATTTTACCTCGCAGATAATCAGAAAACACACGTCACGCAAAACCATCTTTGTTAGTCTTTCCAGTCTTTTTCACCAAGCTCATCCTTAGGGACAAATGCGCCTGTCAAATTAAGTCCACTAACAGTTGTTGTTGCCACTGACAGCATAGCACTCCATAGACAAAAACTGTAATTTTACCTCACATATTATCGGCTATGGAAACAAACCACAGAGAGGCTGCAATAGCAACACAGGAAGAGGGAGTGTGTCACCATTCTCTGTTCAGGACACCATGCCTCCACTATATAGCAAATTAAAACTCATATATATAACCTTTAAAGAGTAGTGATAAGTCACAATCTCAATGTAGCGACAGAAATGAGGGTGGTCCTTTAATGATGGTACATTATATAGGTAGAAAAACACTGTGATATCGTGAGTTTGTCAATATCATTTAACATTTCTCACAGCCCTGCACAGAGCTAACAGAAACAATTGTGTCAGTAGCAATACACTCCATTGTGAACACTCCATTATTGTACTTGGAACTGGAGAGATGGTGAATGTAACATTATTTATTTGTCTGTTTTGTATCTTTTGTTTGTGCAGAATCCTTAGTATTTAAATAAAAGCCTATTAATACTTTGATCTCTGTCTTAAGGCCAACCAGGTGTAGCAGTTATTCAGCAGCTGTTCATTCAACACAAGAAGCAGAAAGTCTAGTTACTACATATTTATTGAGAAAATAATACAAAAAGAAAAAACATGTTTGTCACTACATTTGTGAATTCAGAAATGACATCAGTAGTGTTGACAGCATCTTTATATCAGCTTGTGGCACTTAATGAGTTCAGTTGTTTAACAAGAGAGCAGCTTATGTACATGTCAAAGAAAACACAGCAAACACTGGGCTGCCGTGTGACCATGACTCCACCTCAGCCTAAAGTTTAATCTCATAAATACAATTTTCTCCATCATCCTTGTGTGAGCTGGAAGTCAGATTTATAATCCCTCAATGCAATCCATCATAAATATAAATATATAATAATGTCCCAAAATCTGCCTGCAAGGTGAAAACTGTCCAAACACACACAAACACAGGTAAATTCCCGGATTTTGTAAGTGTCCAACTGTTAATGTAAATCAAGTATCTTGATATGCAGAGCAAACAAATGACTTGACTCTGAAGTATCAGAGCCTAAAATAGCTCAGTTTTATAAAAACGTATAAGCCGTTAGAAATTAAAGTTCAGCCATTTCAGTCTAAAAAACCTCAGCTTTCACATTGCAAGTGTCAGCTAAACTATTCAAAATAAATACATTTTCAAGTGATGATATTTAGACAGTAATATACAATAGATAATAATAGTTTGGAGGAAATGCATGTCATCAACGTTACAGTTTTGTATGAATTCTAAATTAGGAATTCCTGCTTCTGTCTGTTTAATGTGGCGTTCGCTGCATATAGACAGTCATTCCATGTTTACTAGTTTCTTTCAGTGTAGTCATTGCATGACTCTGTCGATGGAACACATTTTCCGCAGCAGAGAACCACAACAGGCATGAAAAAGCTGAGCAGCAGACGTATCAATGCCTTCAACTGAAAAAATACGAGTTTTGAAAATGAGTTATCAATTTGAATCAGTAATTGTAAAGCCAAGATCTAAATTCCAGAGAGAGACTCTTTACCTGCATGATATTTATCTTGGGTTAGCCAGCCATTCACATGACAGAACACACACCGGACTGAAGTGGCTGCTCCTCCCTCTGAGCCACAGCATCCATACTGCAACACATCACACAACCAGGATTCATTTTAATAACACATATATATAAATAATAAAGACTGAGAGAAGGATCAGAAATAATACAAGATAGTTGATTGTTGAGTCTCCTTCACAGTGTCCCAAAGCGTCTGTATTTGACGACCTGGGAATGAGACTCAACGATCAACTATCTTTCTCGGCTCTGATTGGTTGTTTTCGTCAGGCCCAGTTGACTTTTGCAAATGCCATTAGGAGCACTAGGAGGGGCCAGAGGAACCTGAGGAAAATTATTTTTATAAAATGACCTACTGCAGCTTTAATAAGTTATGGACAGCTTTTTCAATACTTTTACTTTTCAACTTAATTTCTTGCTCTATGCTGTTTCCATCCTTGGAAAGTATTATTCCTTTATCAATATATTCACCCAGACAAATGCCCTGAAAAACAACTAGCTTCACCAAACCTCAAAACATAAAAAGACTTATAAAGCATTTGAACAATATTGTTTGTCAATACAGTTCTCATAAAAATTATTCAACTTCTATGACAATGTTACAAATCATACTGGAGATATATTATTCAAAGCTGTTAATAAACAATAGTCTTGGACTATTTCTAAAAATGCACTTGCTTGATGAATTACCACCAAAAGGTGATGTTCGGAAATATTTGTAAATTTGTTGATTATTCATAACATAGACTATATGTCACTGTTAAAAAGCATACCTCTACCGTATAATCACTTGTGGAGTACCTCAAGGCTCCTTTCTTGAACCACAGCTCTTTTTAATTTACATACATGGCATAATTATTAAGTAAGTAATATTAAGTAAACAATGATCTGGGAGAATAGGTAGCATGGCTTCAAATTAAGTTTCACAAAAATCCAATTAGATTTTTTTACTTATGTAGGACAACATTTTTGCCATTGATTGAACTTTATTATTAGAATAGCAAAGACATCTCCTTTTAGATTTGAATGACTGGGTAGCAGCTCTTACCTCTTGGATGGCCTGTAAGGAGCGTCGATCTCTGAATGAAAGTTATTGACTTCTCCTGTCTCATTGATGGCGAGCGCATTGCCAGGCTCACTGTGACTGGCTCTCAGTGGCGGAAAAACACCTTTATTACTGCAGGAAAGATGACTGGCAGCATGGATGTGATTCCCGTTTGGGTCGAGGACATTAGCCTTATCATAGCAGGGTTCCAGGGTCTCCAGGTCATTCTGGGAGGAGGAATTTACTAAAATGTGGGGCATAGAAAGGGGAGAGGGGGCGGACTCACACTGGGACAACTGCAGTTTCTTCATGTGGTGGATTACTGTGGCTGCGTTGAAGGCTTGCTGTTGGAAATGCACACACAAAGAAACAAAGTTATGCTGGTGCTGTCTATGTATAACATGACACGTGTCTTGAATTACTAAGGATACAGCCTATGTGATGCTCAGGTTAATACAGGGTTTCTGTGGGTTTCAACAAGTTTGAGGTTTTAAGGCCTTTTAAAAACGATTATGAATGCAATTTAAGACTTATTGGCCAGGCTGGAAAAAAATGTAAAAAGTATATGAAGGCCTTATGCATTATCAATAAAATGTTTTCCCATTTAAAAGACAGACTTTGCAATTATACACGTAACTTCATTATTCCAATCCAAAGACTAAAAATCCTAAAGGTCCAGTATATTAGTGGCATCTAGTGTAGTTCCAGATCGCACCTTCATTGCTGGACTGCAATAATCCACTGTTCACATGCTCAGTGTGTTCCTAATATCCATAATTTGCTAAAATATTGCTACATACATTGCTACGTTGTTGTTTGTATTTGTTGATTGCTACAGTATGCTTACAGTATTTTGGCTGCCTATAACTAACAGAACAAATGCAGTTGCAATATTAAGTAGTCCATGAGCCAACAGTGTCACTTACCTTCCATTTGGATTTGGCAAAGTTTCTCTCCATCTGTTCACTGACTGACTGATAAATGTTCAGGTCTTTAGCGGTGTTTCCAGCAATCCTGCAAACGAGCCAATGACATTAATTCATCTGGAAAACAAAAAAGCATTGTGTTTGTGCATGTGTGTGTGAAAGAGAAAGGACTAACCAGGGGTGTCTGAGTGCCTGTTCTGTAAGGAAGCGTTTTGTGGGGTTTTTCTCCATCATATTCCTGATGAAGTCTTTGGCTGTTAAGACATGGCAGGGAGAAAATTCAGTACTGACAGTGACATTATGTATATTTCCATTACACAAATGTTATTCTAAAAGCTACTGTTTTTATGTGATTTAAATTTTCAGGCGATAAGATTAATAAACCACAGAGCACCTGGGATTCTTCCATAACTCAACTTCTAACTTTAAACTTAATCCTAAAGGTGTTTGCAGCCAGGCAAACAAAGCAAAACACAAATATTTTCCAAAAACCAGTCATAAAAATGGAATCAATTAATACGTTTATAAATTGCAGAGGTGGGAGCAATTCATTGTTTTGCATGTCATGCAAGTAAGTGAGTCCTAAACAAGTCATAATGCACTCTTCACCAAATGTAATGTCATTTTAACAACAGAATGAACAAATCAAAATGATCTTAGGTATAATTTTTCCAGCTGGTGCTCAGTAATGTAACGTTAGCTCATCATGGTTCTTGTGGACTTGATTGGATGCTGTCGGATTGGTTCAAACTAAGGGGATCTGGGGAATTAAGTGTCGACTTGCTGGGAATTAATAGCATTAACGTTAGTTCACTCAGGAAATGAATTGTAACGCATTAGAAATAGCATACTTTGGGCTTGGGGGAAGGTATCAAATATTTTCAAGTCAAAAGGCTGAGTCACTGATGTTAAAGTCAAGTTGCAAGACTTTTACCCCTACCGACAAAACAAAGCTATGACATTAAATGCAAAGTAAAGTGCTGCGCAGAATGAAGCCCATTTATAGAAAAGCTCATGCTTGTGTGTTGGATAACAGCTGGTATAAATGAGACACTGCATAATGTTAAACAGTGTCTTATGCTTGACCATTATGTGGTTGATAAGACTTTCTCTAGTCAATAATACATTTTCTTCCGTTTCACGTTTTTACAAAAGTCACAATACAATGCTCAGATTGATCATCATATTAAGATCACACCCCTCATGGATACACAATTTACTTCTACTTAAACATTTTATTTGTGTTCTAGTCCCCGGTTCTTAGCACTGTCCCAGTGTTTCTGGCCATTTTTGCAATTCCATTCAAGTTTTAGTCATTTTTTTATTCTGCCTGTCCTTCACAGAAATAATGAAAAATATTTTTTAGGTTAGGAGGGTATTTGACATGTCTCTTAATACAAAATAATGTAATCCCCCAAACAGGCGAGAATTGCCCCTATCCATTTGGTATCTAGACTGGCCATACATGACCTAATCCAAACAGGTCAAACCACTATAGCTGTCCTCAGCAGATGCTGTCACAAGGTATGCTGGTCTATATTAGGTTAAGCTCCAAGGATATATGAACAAATCCTGATCTATACTTAGCTAACACTGAGGTTAACCATTTCAAGGTTTCAAGGTAAGTCACTTTGTAAGAATATTGCAGGTCCTGATGCAAGTTGACCTTATCCTGTACAATAACATGACACTTCCTGCTTTCAACACTCCCTTTCAAACATTGTTCAATTCAAGCCAAGTCTTAAAGGTCTGATATGTAGAATTCTGAAACATTTTATGTATTATTTTTATGTATTAATCACTATTTACTGCCAATTTTGTGAACGGGTTGTAATGTAACTTAAATTAGACCTCCCCTGGCTTTTTCAGTTGCCTGTAACTGATTTTTATGTAAAGGTTTCGGGATGTCACATTTATGCGCGCTCCCAAGTGCCTTCTCTCTCTGCTTCCCTACAGCGTCAACAGTGTGCAACACTAGCTAACACTAGCTTACATATGGAGTCCGCTAATGTCTACAAACAAACGACACCCACCACAACACAGAGTCAAAACTCAAAGCTAACATTACTGCAAAGCTTGTGAAATATATTGAGATATTAGACACAGTCATTTGGATCAATGTATAAAAATGGAAGTACAAAAGAGAAAGTGCAGGGGTTTTATGAAGAGTGAGATGTTCCCTTCTGTTTTCATACCTGACTCAGAGATGTCGTCCCAGAAGGGTGAATGAAAAGAGTACTCAGCTCTCATGATCTTTGAAAACAGACGAGTCTCGTTGTCTTCAAAGAACGGAGGGTAGCCGCAGAGCCTGCAACACAGAGACAACCGCACTCAGCTGATCCCTTTATATCCACTGTTTTTAAATCCTTTACTTTACATCTACATTTTGGTTCCATTTTGGATAACTGCAGCTGCTATGGTGCAGTGTCCACTCTGGTTTCACAGAGTTTCTAGTATTCACAAATGATCCAGGTATGCAGGAAATGTTTCTTTAGGTTATAATTGAAAGTAAACGTTCAAATGTAAGCTTATAGTGAGGAAAATATCTCCAGAACTAATATATCCTCTCAGTGTTCTAGTCTGTAATGACTATTCATGAACAGTCATATACAATGCTGTGTTACTGTCAGAGAACAGAACTCACAGGATGTAAGTGATGACTCCAATGGACCAGCAGTCCACTGCTTTGCTGTAGGGTTTCTGGGCCAGAACCTCAGGGGCTGCAGAATGATACACAACAATGGCTATTATGCAGGTAACATTACAAGAAGAAGCACTTCAAAACGGATTACTTTTACCATAGATGTCCTCTAGTATCATTGTTGTTGGGATTTAAAATGTTTACATAAACCTGTTTATGACTGCCACCTGCTAATACATATTTATTGTAGTAGCATACTACTATACTACAACTACTAGATTAATTAGTCTTGCATATTTTGATCTGTATTATCACACTGTATAAGGTAACTTAAATGATTCCTCTTAACTTTCACGATTCATTTTCACCATAGATACACCTTTTAAACAGTGGATTATAAATTTACTCTTGAATTATATTGAGATATCATTTTTCATTATTTAAATGTACAATTTTATATCAGGTATAGATAACAAGGGGACAGCAGAAATGTGTATGGCCCTCCCCAAAAACTCACCAACATATCCTGGTGTACCACAGGCTGTGGACATGACACCGTGCTCCAACGTCTTAGACAGACCAAAGTCACTGACCATGATCTTAGCATTCTCATCTGTGCTGTAGTAAAGCAGGTTCTCAGGCTGCTCAGAGACAGAAAGAGAAAGAGAAGGAGAGAGCATAAGAAATAGGCAAAGAGAAAGTGTGTGTGTGTTGTCTGTGTCCATGTGACTTAGGCTTCCTTTTGGGAAACATTTTAGACTAAAGACCAGTTAATTGGTGATGGTTTGTCCAAGTGATTTGTGTTGATGTGAGTCTATGTAATGTCCCCAAAAGTGGCATAAGTAA